TTTGACCGCCCTGTATCTCAAAAGTTTAAGGATGTTTAGGGCATACGTTCATATGAAGTTTTTTCCTTAAAATGGGCCCTAGAATCACCCCCTTAAATATTAGCATGTCATTAAGGAACACCCTGTATAGTTTCTTAATGCTTACTTCCACTTTGTAAAAAAAAACAATACAGTGTATTTAAAAAAATTGGGGGTACTTTATAGAAGGTCGTTTTTCTACTTTATGGAATATATGTTATTTATTTAGAGAAGAAAATTCTTCAAATAAAAGTTGCTTGTCATGTTATTCTCTATAACTTTTGTTATGTACAATATTTTTCATAAGACCACAAAAAAATTTTTATCAAAAAAATTAAAAGCAGGAAATTTGGCTAGGTTAGAAAAAATTGATCAAGAAAATCAAAACCGCACGTCGATCGGTGATTTCGTTCTAGAGATATCGTGCCAGCATACAAGTCACAGACGACCAAACGAATTGTTTTTTTGTATTTTCAGAAACCTCGAGAAAAGTATTAGAAAGTGAGAATTACGAATTTTTTTTCGGTACGAATGCAATACTGATGCTCTATAGATCGAATATATCGGATAAGAACATTTTTTATTTACATTATTGTCAGGTGTAGGTATAATACACAATTGGAGTTTGTGCCGTTCCTCCCCACTCACCCTGTATATACCTATATAAATAATGTTAAGGCACAAGGCGCACATGTGTATTGTAAAAACGGATGCACTTTGTCGTACAAAATCGACTGACTAGATAGAACAGTAACAAAACGAGTAATTAAATCAAATTAACAGTGGCGGTACTGTAATTTGTTAACATTTTTTTTTCAGAAAACTATGAATCAATAATTGATTTATCGAGATCCAAGAATTATAGACTTTCGAACGCAACAAACAGAAGTTAGTGAACAGTGTTTATTTTAACCAAAAATTAGACTATTCATAAATAAACGTTTTTAAATTTATAGTTGTCCTATAGTTAATTATCCACTATGCATTTACTAGTCTCAGCATTCATGAGGTCCAGCTACAAGTATTATAAATTAAAAATTTAAAAAAACCGACTTCAAAAACGTGCAGATGCCATCATCACATCTCAACCAAATTTATATGGGACCACCCCTGAGGTACCCCCCTTACTAACAAAAAAAGAATCATATAAATCGGACAAGGTGATAAAGCATTATCGCCAAACATACATAAAAAATGAAAAGTTTGAGAATTTTCTCATGGACCCAATTATTAGATTTTGACCAAATTTATATGGGACCACCCCTGAAGTACCCCCTTTCTAACAAAAAAAAGGATCATTGAAATTGGACACCGTGTTAAAGAATTATCGCTGAACAAAAATATTGCGACGAATTGAGAACCTCCTCCTTTTTTGAAATCGGTTAATAAAATGACAACATTATTTGGAATCATATACAGGGTGTCCCAGACTAATTCATCCAGGCTCTATCTCATAAATTATTTGATATATTTGAGCGGGACAAAAACTAATCGATACCATACCTACCATTTTTAAGATATTTTAATATGACGCAAAAAAATAATGGCTTAAATATTTACCCCTTGGTAGGTACCAAAAACCCAAAAATTAACAGCTATACGTAAACTAAAACAAATTCAAAGAACAGAATATCTCAACATAACAGGAGCCATGAAAACAACACCTACCAAAGCCATGGAAGTCATTCTTAGTCTTACTACCCTTGATATTTACATCAAGGAGGTTGCTCTGATGACAATGACACGCCTCCGCACGGTTGGAATAGAACCTGATGTAGGATCTGGTGAGGCGAGACGTGGCTTTTGGCAGGAGGCGCTCGATACGCACCCACTGCTTCAAGCGAACATGGACTCCATCTCACCGAGATATATCTTCCATAAGTCATATAAAGTTGTAACAGAACAAATAGAAGAGCCGGAAGTGGCAGGTACGATTCATATCTACACCGATGGTTCTAAAACAAAACAAGGTTCAGGATGTGGAATATACCCCAGATCCTTAAACTTTAACATAAAATGGGCTGTGAGCAATAGTGCCAGTGTAGTTCAAACAGAGCTCAAGGGAATTCTCATAGCAGCAAAAAAAATCACCAGAAACAATATCACTGGAAGGAACATGCTCATCTATACAGATAGAAGACAAGCACTACTCACCCTGAATAGACCACGAATTTATTCAGGGTTAGTACTAGAATGTCACGAAGTTTTGGCCGAAGTATCCATCAACAACGTGGTCACTTTAAGATGGATCAAAGGTCACGCCACATCGAAAGGTAACCGTCTTGCTGATTCACTGGCCAAGAAAGCAGCCAACCAAATACTTTTTGCACCTGGCCCTCCCATTGGCCTGGCCAAATCGGTAGTGACAGACCTAATTAAAGAACATTCCCTTGTGAAATTCAAGAAAAGATGGGATGAAACAAGAAACTGCAGAGTTGCCAAGCCAAGGAGCTTTTAAGTTATCCTGACAACACTGCAGCAAACAAATACTTGACTATGACTAGACAGAATCTGTACCTAGTTACAGGCATTCTGACTGGTCATTGACAAGTACGGAAGCATCTCCATATCATGGGGCTGTCAGAATCCGCACTCTGCAGAGGGTGCGAACAAGAAGATGAGACCGTCGAACATATCCTCTACGATGGCTCGACACTCTCATTTATTAGAAGATTTGTATTCGGCGAGAATCGGTTAACACCGGCCGATATAAAAGAAGCACCTCTTGGCTACGTTGTCAACTACATCAAATCTGTAGGCTGGCTCACGAGCTAGGAGGTGCCTATCATCTCAGGAGGATACACAATGGGCCTAGTGAGGCCTAAGTACCGTGGGGGTAACCCACCCTCCACACGTTACAGATACAGATACCCTTTGGTGACAAGCGACAACTTCCACCCTTAAAATTTTAAATAGCACCCATTTATACAGGGTGTTTCCGAACTTGGCGTCCAAATTTGTAGGGGTGGGTTCGCATAATTTGAGAGCGATTGGCAGATTTCATTTTTCTAAAAAAATTATAATAAACAAAATAGAGTCATTATAAAAAAAATCAAAAAGCGGGTCCTACCCTGAGCGCGTAGCGCAATAGTCGCGTGATTGGTTACTCATTGGGATTTACAACTCAAAAACAGATGCGATTTGTAAATTTCTCCCTCCGCCCGGCCGGTATCGAAAGACGTAGCCGATTGTTTTTCTAGTGCGTATTGCTCGAGGCGATTTTCATCGCTGTGCAGGACCGTACCTGTTTAAAATTTTTAATTAATTTTTAATTAATTTTTAATTATTTTTATTTTTAATAATCCAAGAAGGGGGAATGTCATAGTATTTTGAGTGTATTGTTTTAGTAGGATGGTGATTTTTAAACATAATAAAGAAATTATAGTTTATTACCAAAAATACACTATATTATATTGTCAAATTTACACTTTTGTAATTGTGTCAATGACCTTAGTTGCCGAGGCACGTTAAATTTAAATAAAAAATATATATAATAATAATAACGTCTTTATTATTTCTATAAAAATACAAAACAAAATATAATTATTTTATAATAAAACAAAATATAGAAATAATGGGCGAAGTTCATCCTTTGTAAATGTTTGATCATTTACAAAGCATGTTCTACCACTTAAACCCCTAAACCCCAATCAACCTATACTAAATGGTAATTTTTAACGAATACGAAAATGTTTGTATATTGCTTGAACACAAGAAAGTCTGTTTGATGTTTAATGTAGATCTCTAAACTAAATATGTGAATTGAACAACTGGTTTTTTGATATAGTCCTAAATTTGTTTATATTTAAACTTTTCAGTTCACATGGTAAAGAATTGTATAATTTAAATATTTGATATTTAAAGGACCGCCTATACATTTCAATTCTAAATCGAGGAACTGTAATTTCATCCCTAAATCTAACATTTAAATTATGTATGTCGGTGCGATATGTAACCTTCCTATGGAGATATGTTTTTTTGGTGGTAATAATTTTATGAAAAATACATAATGCGTGATGAGTCCTTCTAGATTTTTCGCTTCATTTACGACAGTTAAGTATTCACCATTTATGTGTAAATTTATTGACTGATTTATACATATATACATTTATATATATATATATATACACTAAATATTGACAAAAAAATAAATCAGCATGCAAATATTATTTTTCATGCTTTCTTTTTGTGCCTCTTGTAGCTTGCTGAGTTTTTTTAACTTTTTTTTTAGTGTGAGGCAACGATGTGAAATATTCAGCTGCACTTGGGTTGGGGTAAAACTTCTTAAGGCACTGCAGGTCTTGATATTTATCATATTTTATAGGTAGCAACTCTGTAAAGGAAAAAACTAACATTACATTATATCAAATGCAGTAGTAAAATATACCTTCGTATAAATTGCCTAGTAATTCAAACTCATGGCGGGGTAATTTTTTCTGCCTTTTCTTTGCATTAACCAAAACTGCGCTTTCCCATGTACCATTCCACGTTGAGTGATGGTAAACAAGCCTAGGATGATCTTTTACTACCTTGAATTCACGGATGGGGCGCGTCTTCAGTGAACAACTTCGTTTGAATAATGTAGAAAAATGGGTTATAGTGTATTGTCCTATAAACTGGGTATATCCCGTTGAATATTGTAAAAATAAAAAATAAATACAGAATTACAACTTTTTTAAATCAATTTAGCTACTATGCCACCCTGTATCTGTATAATTATCAAGCGACCTTTTTAATAATTTTTTTCTACGCTTTTTCTACACTACGAAATTTTCTACACTTTCCCACTATAAATAGCTCCATAATTTTGGAATCCCTCGTTACGTCACCCAAGATCATTAGCGAAAAAAATGATATCACCACAAAGCAGTATTTTAATGTTTTGACGTCCCACGTGAAAATTCCCGCTCGCACACCTCTGCACGTCGACAAACTTGTCGAAAATTCCTCTGGAACATCATAGTATTCATAGTGTGCTGCCGTGCTGCCTTAAATGGCCGACGTCGATCCGTATGCGTCTCGTCCACCCTGTCTCCATAAAAGGACGCACTCGATGTTATTTTTAAGTGCACTCGACAATCCCTATAAAAACGACGCGAAGCGTCACTAGCGCACTCGCTGATTAAGTCGCTAAGCGTCGAGTCCTTTTAACTTTCTATAGAGGTTGGTACTTTTTTTTTAAACAAAGGGGTTGATGAGGACTTAGGGGTAGTTATGTTTTTTTAGTACGTGTTGGATTAAGTAAAAAAATGAAGGATGAGAGTTAATTAAAGTTAGTTTCGCAAATAGTGTACAGTGAAAAGTGATTATATAGTGAAGTGTCAAATTGTTCAACATTTAATTCAGGAATAATTGTTTGTTTCTGTTGATTTTATATTTAAAAATATAGAAGAAAATATAGAAAGATTACAAAATATATTTAATTTAATTATGAAAATTATATAAAAGTGAACAAAGTGGCAGAGGCGTAAAAGCTTATTTTTAATTTGTGGACATTTATTTTAAAAATATATATGTGTATTGTGTAAAAAAAATATAATAAATTATACAAGGTGAGTCGGAGCAAATTATTCTTAATTTAATTTATTACCGATTTTTAACAGCATAAATTTCGAATAATCCTAATGTAAACTCATACGATCAAACGAACTTAAGTATACACGATGCTCCTTTCGAAGATGATCTGGTGCACTACTAGTTCATAAAATAAGTAGATACTAGGTTTATTTATGTATAGCTTTACAAAATTGTGAGATAGTTTTCGACTTCCTAGGTTCTTTCTATCAATTATTCACTATATCCGACTTTCCTTGTTTTTTTTTTAACAAAATTTCACTTAACCAGCCTAATTATAATGGAAATACTCACCACAATTGTTCAAATCTACTCCTTTCTAAATGATTTTCCTGAATATACAGATATGTACATCGATGCTTTCAAGTCAAACTGATAACTTTACACTGCAAAAGCGATTGCGATAGTAGAAGCCTTACAATTCGTATCAGAATCTAACACTAAAGCAGCTCAATTGCTTCAGATTTTCTGTATTTGTTTTAAAATCAGCGGTAGCTGTGACCATTCAAATCCATATATTTTCTTGATCAAAAAGGCATTGTTCCAACTAATTAATAGTAATGTAAATATATATTTTATTTTATTGTATATTTGTAAAGGTTCATATGGGACTGAAACATAATGTATATGTTGATATGCTAGCAAAATCTGCAATTAAAAAAGGAAATGACACCTTTCGTAACATGGAGGCATGATTGGTCACAATTCTGTTCCATTTATTCCAATTAGTACACTAAAATACAAAAATATATTCCAAACTCTGGTTTAAAAATCATATTGGTAATTTCAAGACACTACATTACTACATCATTAAAAAGAACCTGATTTGGTCATGCCAGTTATCTTAAATACTTGTTTAAAATTAATGTAAAATTGTAACTTTTGTGAATCAGTTGGAAATTTTAATCACCTTTTCTTTGAATGTTAAAATTGTACTCTACATTTAAATATGCTTCATATAAATCTTATAAAACAAAAACGTTTCACCCCATTAAATAGTGAAATACCTGTAACTCATTTTTCCCATACTATCACTTGCCTCTTACAATTTCTGAGAGATATCAATATTTGTCTATGATTGGAAATTTAATCTCGTTTCTTTTTTACCCCTTATCGATATACCTAGTTGGTTTCTTAAGAAAAACGTCCTGATGGGTCCCTATACAAGAAGCTAGTATCCCTTTCATGAGCCATTTTTATTCTTCTCACACCTCTTTTTGTTAACAAATTATTGTTGGATAGTACTAATTATGGACGAATCAGTATCTGGCTGAATGGTAACTGGTTTATACCAAAGTTTAAAAAACTTACTTATGGTAAGAAGAAGGGAGTGGCAATATGTAATTTTGATTAATGTTAGGTGCTGTACTATCTAATATGAATTTAATAAGTTTACTTTTAACTAAATTTATTTGATAAGACCTTTTAAAAGTTCATATTCCTATGTCAAAATTCATCAATCAAAATGTCTAATTCCTTCGGAGCCTTTATTTTTAGTCCGATTTTTGTGAAAGTATTAATTTTGATAATTGTTTAAAAGCAATAAAAAATTACGCACCATTCTGTATTAAATCATTCTTATACGTATTTGTACAGTGCTGCCTGATCGTTGCACAAATTTAAAGCTCTCAATATTCTCAAGACACATAACATCGTAAAGAGCGTTGTCTGTCAAATATAACAGCACCATGTAGTAACCCTTTACCATAAGTTTTATAAGATATAAAGAGTTCTAAATTGGTTTGTGCATTTGGTTGTTTGTGTATTTAGAGAACATAGAAGTGTTAATAACAAAAAAAATAATTGAATCATTTTTAATTTGTGGACGGTAAACAATATTTACAAGCAATGGCACTTTGAGGGTGTTGGGAGAGAAAAGTAAGGTGAAATATTGCGGGAGACGAGGAAATTTGTATGTTTAAAAACAAAGATTAGGATAATCAAGAACAATGTACAGTTTTAAATATATTTGAATATTTAAAAGAAGAAAAATGACCGAAAATCAGTGGAAAAATAATTAAAATAATTTTTTCTACGAATACTATCCAAAGTATGCTTTTGCACATTCATAATTTGACATTGGCGCCAAAGTAACTTTGGCACACACTTTTGTCTCTTTTCATTTGAATTGAATATAAGAAAGCTAATCAGTACATGAAAACAAAATGTAGACTAATCTAAAATTGACTTCCTAATATTTTAAATCATTGAAACAGTATTTTTTCTAAATAATTAAATTATTAAATGATTAAATAATTATCGACATATAAGTACTAAATTTTTTTTCTCTTCGAAGATTAGGCTTATGTTAAATAAACTTACAATATTATAACGAAAGAAAGTAACTCATTTAAATTATTTATTATATTTGGTGTGATTCTAGAAAAAATCTTGTGTGTAATTCGAGCAGAAAGTACTTTGGGAGTTTCGACATATTTCTGCTTCAACTGCCAAAGTGCTACTTTCTGCTCTTAATACACAAATAGCTATTTTCATAACATACCCCACAGGCATCATTTTGACAGATCTTTGGAATGACTAATTGGCAGAGAAACTGACGGTTCTAGTTGGAAGGGTCAAGGTTCGATCTCTAGCCACTTGTTTTTTTGTCTTTATTTCTCAGCTTTTTCAATGTTTCTTTGATTTATTTTCACTTTGGAGAAGTGGAGGTGTATTTTTCATAATTTTGTAAATGGAATTGCGGATTACATATTGTCTTAATTTCAAATTTGTGATAATAATTTTACATTTATTTAGTAATGAAAAGTAATTTTTGGACTAGTCCGACGAAAAAGTAGTGTTGGTATTTAATTTTTTCACGATTTTATTTTAATAAAATATGAAACGAAAATTCTAAAACGCATAATAATAATAAAATCAGTAGTCATCTGTGGTTTCTTTTTTTTTTAACTATATTTTGCCTTTGTTAGGAAGAAATTCAAACAAATTATTTAATTAAATTTCGTGTACGCGCAATGCACTTTTCCACTTTTGAAAGTCAACTCTCCAGACTAGTCCGTCCGACTTGTCTGTGCACTTTTCCAAGCGACCCCTCATTATTATTTAGTTATCCACCAACATTTCCTTAAATCCACACAAAATTAGTGAATGAATAATGAATAGATATTTTAAATACCTTTCAAACAAGGTGTGGCTTTCAATAAGGACCCATTAAAAGTTATCGCACACGTAATATATGACTATTATGTCACCTGTTACCAGTTTTACCATTAGTAAAGAAGTTTATTTCCACCCTATAAATTTCATGAAAAAAAAATTAAACAAATATTTGTATATATGTGAGTATAGCGATTGAAATTAGGGGAAAAGAAACACCCTTTAAATCTCACAGAATTATTCTTTATTGCAACTGGTTTTACATTTTTTAATTACTTCATCTTAAGGCACACTGAAATGGATAAACAATATTTGATTTCCAAGATTCCAAGCCTAATATGACAATCTGAAATTAATCACAAACCTGTTTATCCTTCCATTCTACGAAATATTTCATACTATTCGAAATTTTTTTTGCATCACTGAAATCGCTAATGAATTATTTAAAAATTCCCCAATTATGATTCGCTGTCTCTAAATAAAATTTTATCTTGTTTACGCAAAGAGAAGCTATGAAAAATGCAATTTTCTGCGGTACAAAAAAATCAAATTGAGATGATATCGGCCATTCTTATGTTCTTATTGTTTAATTTCTTTTGAAGCATTTGGCATCGGTTAGGAATTTGACTGATTTACTGTAAAAAATTAACGAACAAGGTGTTTATTTAATACACCGTAAATTGCCATTCTGTGCTAATCGGTGCAGCTGAACATACACAATAATTACAGAGTAAGTGTTATTGGTAAATATTAATATTTGTTTAATTCAATTAAATAATGTAAATACTTAAGTACCTACTTAAATTAAGTAGGTAATTCAGTTCAAATTATAAGTTTTAAATACCTAATTTTTTGATGAATCAAAAGGGCAATTCCAAATTAATAACTTTCCTGTAACCAATATGGAAAGTATAGAAATCGTGATTTTTTTGACATCGATTTTTCGACGGGCCTTATCGTTGCACAAATTTAAAGCTCTCTATATTCTCGAGAAATATAATATCGCGAAGTATTCCCAGTGGCATGCTTATAAATAGAATTTTATATTAGAAAATCCTTAAAACATTTTTGCTTTCGTGAGAGATCCGGTTTGATCTTAAGCTGTAATCCATCCTGCGGTGAGCTGAATATATTTTGGGCATAATCAAAACATCTGGGGGACATTTTTCTACTATAACGAATATTTCTGTTATGATTAGAGAAGAAAATTCTTTGTAATGTAATTCTCTATCATTTTTGTCATATGCATTTGAGGATAAGTGTAAAATTTAAATTTGTTGAAGCTATGTTAAAATGTTTGAAATAACATGTATGTGAAAAATATTTATCAATTCATATTCTAAACCATTTTTGATTAGATGGGCCGTAATTAATAAATTTGATAACTTTACAGAAAAGTCATGTGTTGGACATATCAGATATTTATTTTTTGTTGTTTATTTTTAAAAATGTCGAAATCCGTAAGAAGCTTTACGAAGCAAATTTTCAATAAGAAGGGTTTAAAGGAATATTTATTGATTGTTCTTTTTGAATATAATTTTCATTATTATATTTTTCTGTTTTTTTTTCTGTTTTTTTTTTTTCTGTTTTTTTTTTCTGTTTTTTGGGTTTTTTTCTTTTAATTCAATGATGGACTTTCCTAGATAGCAATGTTAGACCAAGATTATAGTTATTTATGGTAATAGTGTGTTATGTTGAAAATAAGTAACGCGAGAAAGATTTATATACAATATGTCCCCCTAAGTTGGAATCATATGGAAAACTTTTTTTTTTTAATTTGGTGTCATCGGCGTCGACTACTACGGCCATTAGCCTCGTGTTCTGTGTAGGCTTTGTTACTGTTTCACAGCGCCACTTTAGGAACAGCACTGTTAATTAGAACCCAACAGTGAATGGTCGAGTGGGGAATCCTACCTATGCATTAGAATTAATTTTTAATTTTTTAAATTAAATAAAAATTCCTGCCACCGGTGGGATTCGATCCTGAGACCTTCCGATCTCAGAGTCATGACTCTAACCACTGAGCCAACCCACCCCCCGGAAAACTTTTTTATTGTTAATTTTAGGAAAAAAAGTTATTCTTCATAAAAAGTTCTGCATTATCTAAAACCTAGAATACAGTCATCAAATATCAATTGGTATACGAGGTTTGTAAAAAAAATATTAGTTTTACTCGAGAGTAAAGTACCTTTATTCTTTATACTACTGATAAAATTTGATATCTGATGGTTATATTTTAGGTTTTAGACCATGCTCGACTTTTTATAAAGAATAACTTTTTTCCCAATATTAATAATAAAAAAGATTTTCATATGCCGCCAATTTACGTAGACAGTTGGTGGCATAGGAAAGCTTTTTTATTACTAATTTTAGGGAAAAAAGTTGTTCTTTATAAAAAGTCAAGCATGATCTAAAACCTAAAATACAACCATCAAATATCAAATTTTGTCAGTCGTATAAAGAATAAAGGTACTTTACTCTTGAGTAAAACTAATATTTTTTGAGAAACCACTAAAAAAAAATTGATATTTGATGACTGTATTCTAGGTTTTAGATAATGCAGAACTTTTTATGAAGAATAACTTTTTTTCCTAAAATTAATAATAAAAAAGTTTTCCATATGATTCCAACTTAGGGGGACATACTGTATATAAATTCTCAAGTGACTTAGGAAACATAACACACGAGTGGCATACAATGTTTTATCCAACAAACAAGTGGAAGAAATCGTTTTTTTATGAGATAATAATTAATAAGTTTTCCCTGCAGAAAAGGAAAGTTTTTTGAAGGAAACAACGTATAGAAAATGGAGGAAACGAAAATTACGTTCCTGAGGATATCCTTACAGAAGCGGAAGAAGCAGCGATGCAGATTTTGCCAGAAAAGTCCCGAGATGCTTACGACAAGGAGTTCAAAATGTTTGAGTCTTGGATGAATTCACGGAAGATAAAAGGTATCGATGAAAATGTTCTATTGGCTTATTTTTTACATTTGCAAAAAAAATTAGCCCCATCGTCGTTATGGACCAAATACTCGATGCTTTGCTCGACTATTCACCTTTATAAAAAAATCGACATTTCAAAATATGATAAATTAACGAGCTTTTTGAAAAGCAAATCATAGGGATACAAACCAAAGAAGTCCAAGACATTAGAACGACCTGTAATAGAGAGAAGTTTTTGAACGAAGCCCTCGACGACAAGTATTTGTTGATGAAAGTGGCTATGATAATGGGGATTAGCGGTGTTTGTAGATGCGATGAATTGGTCAATTTGAAAATAGAAAATATTCAAGACAAAGGGAAATATTTTTACGTAGTTTTGCCAGACACTAAAACCAAGAAATAGAGAAGTTTCACCATACTTGAAGAAGGATTTCCAGTCAACCCGATCAATTTGTGTAAAAAATACATGTCTTTGAGACCAAAGAATACTAGTTCTAGCCGCTTTTTTGTTTTTTTACCAAAATGGGAGGTGTACCAGCCAGTGTGTGGGAATAAATACGTTGTCGAAGATACCTTCAAGAATTGCAATGTTTTTGAAATTGGAGGAACCAGCGCTCTACATCGGTCACTGCCTGAGAAGGTCTTCGGCGACTCTTTTGGCCAATGCAGGGGCTAACATAACTACTTTGAAGCGTCACGGAGGATGGAAGTCTTCGACGGTAGCAGAATGATACCTAGAAGAATCGGTGCATAACAAAATACAAATTGCAGAAAAAATACAAGGTTCTAATGTGTCGGCGTCTTCCAGCATTATCAGCAGCTGAACAGATATGGGAGCGTCTGGTTCCAATGAACCAACGAATTTTACAATGACTTCAAATTCGAATAAACCGTTAGCGTTTTCCATTAATTTCAATATCAATGTTAATTCTGCTTGTAATAATAATAAATAAATAGAATACTACTTTAAATATGAACGTTATAATCCATAACTCACTAGTGAGTTATGGATTATAACACACTAGTGTGTTATTTGATAGTTTACTTGTCTAAAATGACATCAATAATGACAGTCATAACTGTCATGTGTTGAATAAATATATGTAATTTTGTAATAATAAGTTCATTAAATTATATTGACACTGTTTTCTACGGTCTTAAAAAGTATGGGACCATCACGGCCCCATTTTTGAGCCCATTTTGTTCATATATTGTATAAGAAAAATGTCTGGAACTACAATCTCTCAGGCAATACATTTAATTTAATTTGGGTTGTTACTGTTTAGCATAAAACGTTCTTCTCTGATAAGATTTTACAAAAGATTCATTTAATTACGTCAACATGTGTTTCTGCTCGTTTTTTAACCGCCGTTAAAATAATATTTCTCTTTCAGTCGCAGTAACACCACAAAACCTACAAAATGTGTGACGATGATGTAGCGGCTCTGGTCATCGACAATGGCTCAGGAATGTGCAAAGCCGGTTTCGCAGGAGATGACGCTCCACGTGCCGTCTTCCCGTCCATCGTTGGTCGCCCCAGACACCAGGGTGTCATGGTGGGTATGGGTCAGAAGGATTCTTATGTAGGAGACGAAGCGCAAAGCAAGAGAGGTATTCTCACATTGAAATATCCCATCGAACACGGCATCATCACTAATTGGGACGACATGGAGAAGATTTGGCATCACACCTTTTACAATGAACTCAGAGTTGCGCCGGAGGAACATCCCATTTTGCTTACTGAAGCTCCTCTTAATCCCAAGGCTAACAGGTAGATGTTTTTCCTATTTAGTACATTTAGTTACCTTCCATAATTAGTATATCTTTATTTCTTTATTTAGAGAAAAGATGACCCAAATCATGTTTGAAACATTCAACACACCAGCCATGTATGTAGCCATTCAAGCCGTACTGTCACTGTACGCTTCCGGTCGTACCACCGGTATTGTACTCGACTCAGGAGACGGTGTATCCCACACAGTACCCATCTATGAAGGTTACGCCCTTCCCCACGCTATTCTGCGTCTGGACTTGGCCGGTAGAGACTTAACTGACTACCTTATGAAGATTCTCACCGAAAGAGGTTACTCATTCACCACCACTGCCGAAAGAGAAATCGTAAGAGACATCAAAGAGAAACTTTGCTATGTTGCTTTGGACTTTGAGCAAGAAATGGCAACCGCTGCTAGCTCTACTTCCTTGGAAAAGTCTTACGAACTGCCTGATGGTCAGGTTATTACCATTGGTAATGAGAGGTTCCGTTGTCCCGAAGCTTTGTTCCAACCTTCCTTCTTGGGTATGGAATCTTGCGGTATTCATGAAACTGTCTACAACTCCATCATGAAGTGTGATGTAGATATTCGTAAGGACTTGTACGCCAACACTGTACTCTCTGGTGGTACCACCATGTACCCAGGTATATTTTTTACTTTATGCACAAATTACAGAACGAATAAACACTGATCCTAATTGAATTAGTCACTCTTATAGGTCAACGACAGTTGAATAAAACACTCAAATAAATGTAGGAAACTACAGGAAACAATTAATTATTGTACAACTTTTGGAACCTTGCCATTTTTTATGTTATGCCTTTAGCTAATAATAGAAATTGCAATTCAAATTTTAACTGACTAAATCAATGAAAAGGATTTTCATAGGAGGAGATTTTTAAATAATTTGTATAATTTTCGGTCTAAATAATATTTATTTAAATTAATTAATTGTCGAGTCAATTTCAGTGTAAAATGAATGAAAATATTGGTCTGCCACGGAAAAAAACATTTCTTGACAGAGATTTTCTTTTAATTATAAAGAAATATAAGCCGGAAGTGTTTGGCAAATCACTATTTGTCGTCGTTAATATAATTTAAATAATTTAAATACTTTTTTATTTTTTATAATATTATTTTACTAAATTTAGTGGGTTGCCTAAGGGGCCCATGGTTGAAACTACAAATTTAGTTACTATGGCATAATAAATTTAAAAAAAAATATTTTAGGTATTGCTGATCGTATGCAAAAGGAAATCACCGCTTTAGCCCCATCAACAATCAAAATCAAGATCATCGCTCCCCCAGAAAGAAAATACTCCGTTTGGATCGGTGGTTCCATCTTGGCCTCACTCTCCACCTTCCAACAGATGTGGATCTCCAAACAAGAATACGACGAATCCGGCCCTGGAATCGTCCACCGTAAATGCTTCTAAACAATTTAAATCTACAACTGCACGCCATTTTTTATGTATATCTATTAAGTACAATATGGGCGTTTTAAGCTGTATTTACACTTATATACTCGTTTAGTGTAATTTGGGTTTCGATTATGAATAGAACATAAAATGGAAACAAGTTGGTAGGATATATCAGCTGTATATATTGGCGCTTATTTTTTCATTGTGCTTATTAGATATTTAATTTTATACAATTGTAAAAAAACATTCTATTCATGTTAATAATTAATAAAAGTCCTACAAAAAAAATGTACGGCAAATATTACAAGACTTTCGTTGCTATATATAAGCAATATTGTATTATAAATAATTTGTATTCTATACCTACTTTTTATTATTATTATTATTATTAAGGCATTTGAAATCAATTCAAAATCGGTTGTTTATATTTTATATAAGTATTTTTAGTAGTAGATCTAAGACGATTTCATTTGCTCCAAAAAATACGACTGTATCGTTTAGAAGTAAAATCGTATTCCAAAATAAAGTTTTGTTAGTATTTTTTACGTTTTTTTCTTATTTATGATTCCCTCACGCATTTTTGGTTCCTAGGACCAGACCAGCACTACTAAGGTACTCTCAAACGAATTAAAACTGGAGAAGGACATTAAAACCAAATCTATTTCAGCATGATAGCTGTGCCTAATAGCTTTACCTTATATAATAACGTACCTATACTAATAACGAGCATTACCGTTACTAAAATAGTACTAACTTAGATTAAAGAGAGTACCATGCAATAACGACCTTTTTCAACTTTTGTTTCAAATTTAATTTCAATTCGTTCAATATTCACTACCTAGCTTTAAAAAGTACTTTGTCTCACTTCTTTTTTCATTGTTCAAAATTATGTAATATAATGCAAATCGATTAAAAACCGTTTTACTGTTTTTATTTTTTAATACATGTAAAAAAATATACAGGGTGACAATTAAAAACTTTAAAAAGAGTAGCTATAACTCATAAACTAAAGATAAATATTTAATTCAGATAAACATACCATTTTTTTTTTAATAGTAGGGCGTTGTGTTTACTGTACATTTAATAAAATGTGCATATTACATAGTCCAATCAAATAGACCTTTAAATCAAAATTTTGGAGGAAATACAGGAATTTTTCATATAAGTCACTTTAGAGTATTTGAAAACGATATGTAAAAAAAAATTTGTTTTCAGGCCCCGGCAAAAGGCGAAAAACAAGAAATTAAAGTGTTTTTTTTAAGGTTATTTAAAAACGGTAAGTGCTATAAAAAAAAATTCTTAATAAAAATTGTAAAGCATCAAGTTTTACATAAAAATTATATTTAGCATTTTTTGCAATTAAAACTAACAGAGTTAGGGTGTTTAGAAGTTAAGAGGAGATATATATGAGCTGAAAATTCAATGATTTTTTATTTTCTTTTTATTATTTTCTTAGAAAAATATGAACTTTCTTTTCAGAAAAATAATTTTTGTCATTTGTTTTTTTTTTAAGTTATGACAATTTAAATTTACAAATTTTCAATATATTATACGACTTTATATGGTAAAATAAGTTTTAAAGTGAACTTATTTATGAGTAACGAACTAATAAAAACGACATTGTGACAGTTTAGTCCCCACTTGAAGTTCCATTAAATAAATAAAAACAAATTAAAACTAAATAAAAATAAATAAAGATAAAAAAATTAAAATAAGTAAATAAAATTAAATAAAAGAAAATAGATAAATATAAATTTAATAAAAATAAGTAAATTAAAATAAATAAATTAAAATAAATAAATTAAAATAAATAAATTAAAATAAATAAATTAAAATAAACAAATTAAAATAAATAAATTAAAATAAATTAAAATAAATTAAAATAAATTAAAATAAATTAAAATAAATTAAAATAAATTAAAATAAATTAAAATAAATTAAAATAAATTAAAATAAATTAAAATAAATTAAAATAAATTAAAATAAATTAAAATAAATTAAAATAAATTAAAATAAATTAAAATAAATTAAAATAAATTAAAATAAATTAAAATAAATTAAAATAAATTAAAATAAATTAAAATAAATTAAAATAAATTAAAATAAATTAAAATAAATTAAAATAAATTAAAATAAATTAAAATAAATTAAAATAAATTAAAATAAATTAAAATAAAACAAATAAAAATTGATTTACAATTTTTATTAAGAACTTTTTTTATAGCACCTACCGTTTTTAAATAAACTTAAAAAAACACTTTATTTTCTTGTTTTTCGCCATTTGCCAAGACCTGAAAAACAACATTTTTTTACATATCGTTTTCAAATACTATAAAGTGATTTATTTGAAAAATTCCTGTATTTCTTCCAAAATTTTGATCCCATCGTCCAAATGTCTCCTATACGCCAATGATGCAGCTCTACTCTCGGTAGCCAAAAATTCTAACAATTAACGTATTTTTGCAGTTTCTAGGAATAAAATGTTTCGGAAAGTTTGCCGTCTGATATTGAAGAACAAGCTTAAAAAGTTATTTCCGATCTGTTACCGGAAAAATCAAGTCAAAATACGAGATTCGCATTTTGGCAAATGAGAAGGTATTGTTGTCAGACTTTTTGATTTGATTGATTGAAAAGCAGTGAAATAAGATAAACGAGTGCGTTAATAAACTTCTTGTCTCACGCAAAATGAATGGGATAAAAAGTTTTTATCTCACGGGCGTAGATAAAAATTTAAACAAAACTCGTATGTCAATGAAAGATAATATAAAATAAAATAATTACCTGATCTACTTCAGCCATTTATTTTGAAAGTGGCCTAAGTCCATTTATGCTTAAATTGAAATATCTAAGAGTTTGTGTAAATTTTGTTTAATTACATTAATTAAACGTACTGATTATTCAACTAATGCAATTGTCCAAAAACCGAGGTTAACTTGTTAAATACTAATTAATTAAAATTACCTTCATCACTTCTTTTGGATATTATCGATAATGAATATCTTGATTAAAGTATAAATGGACTTAGGCCTCTTTCAAAATAAACGGCTCAATTTATACCTGTAATATAATAATAAAAATATATTTAGCATGTACTTACTTAATATTAAGCTGCATATATTTTGCAATTTGCTATAATTACTACCCGTCCAATTATTGTAGGTAATTGCAAAATTAGTGGACACGAATTGGACTAGTATTCTTCTTATAGTATCAATTTTATCTCTTCCTTCTGCCATTTGTTATGTGAAATACTAAAAATTGGAAAGAATAAATCATTTTAACAACTCCAACAAAATTTAAAAAAGACGAACGAGAAAAAACAGGGTATGTAAATTAATACTTAATACGGATTTGAATGTTCGTTTATTATACAAAGAAAGTTCTCGGCCCTCTACACTCTAGATCTTCAAGCTTTTTGAATGGTTCCAGTACTAAATATTTAAGGTCATCTTTTGTTTACTCTCCACTTGTTTTCTTTAATTGAGAGGTATCCTCTAAATAGTAACTTTACCCTTGTGCAATATTCGGCGAGATAAGCGTCAGTTATCAAAATATATTATATGTTCTACTTACGGTTTCTCTTCCATTTTATATATTATTGGCTCTTACAAAGTTTTCACATAAAGCCAAAAAAATCCTCAGTAACGTTACAACTCGCCACACCCAAATAAACGTGAAGTGTGACAAGACACAACCCACGCATGTTGTGTAGAAATTTTTCTGACAGCTATACTCAACATTGTGAAATTAATCGAATCGAACAGTCCATAAACATAGTAGTGCCGGCCTGGCAAACATGATGTAATTTAAAATGTTATTGTTCGCTCAGGTGAAAAAATGTGCTTAAAAGCGCCTGAGAAAAGTATAATTGAAATAACATTAATTTCCACTTAATACAGTAGAAAAGTGTCAATGATTGTAAATATGGCCCTAAACTAAACTACTTATTATGCAATGTTTAATTGCCGCATTTTTGTACCATAATTTTAATCACCGGCCGACAAGTTTCCTCCATATCAGTGTTTGCTAGGTTAATGTTATGGAGGGTAGACAAAGTGTATTTAATCTGAATAACTAAAAAATGTACTGACAATTAATTTGACAGAATTGTCACTTACTTCAAATTTTAAAAATAATAGCAATTGGGTGTCCAAAATATGAACTGTGATTGGTCGATTTATTATTAAATATATTCGTTTAGTTGAACGCAATAGCATACTTTTTTATTTTGTAGTCTGTGCGTAGATAGGCTAATATTCATGTGGATGTAGAAAAAAATATTTTTTGTTTATTTTATGAATTAGTAAAATTCGTAAATTATTTTAAAATTAGTTGTTTTGTCTTAATAACCTAAAATAATTTTTTAAATTTGTAGATTTTCTTTAACTTAAAAATATACTGTATAAAAAATATACTGTACAACTTGAGTGGATTGTTCATATCCACTCTTATTGCACAACCTTTTATTTATCTGACATATAATGTTTTTATATTTTGTAATATAAAAATAAAACATTTTAAAAGTTTTCTACACTTTTTAGACGTTTCTACACAACTAGCGATTTAACACATTGTATACTTGCTAAATAATATGTGCACATAATTTCTGTAATAAAATAATCCACTCTTTCATAATCCACTCTTTCATAATCCACTCTTTCATAAAAATTTGATAACTTTGTTGTTCGACAAAAATTTGAAATTTTCAGGTCGCACCATCTATTTAAAAGTACATGAACTGTAATGTAATGTTGGTTGCGGTAATATGGTTAAAATCAAGTCAAAGTTAAAAAAAAATTATGTTGTAAAGAACTTGTAAATTGCCAAATTGCCGCATTTGAGAATCCACATCGGATGCATTTTTACATCTCGAGCGTTTTTTTATCCACATCGGACACATCTACTACATCTACATCTGCCTTTGTTTATTATCTATGTTCCAGATGTACCTGTTCAGATTAAATTTTTTACATCTCGATTTGAAATGAGATGTTCGTTTCATGCCAGAAAGTAAGTGTTCTGTGAAGTCTTGTTTGTCAATTTATCCTTTGTTATGAATATACACATAGTATGTGTGAATATAAAAGTGATTAGTTTGTTTAATTTTTGTTTATATTTCAAATTTAGGTTGATTTGTAGTCTCAAAAGTCAAATTTAATAAGTATAAACTTCTAACTTGTCATTGACATTTTATCACGTGACCAAATAAAGTCGTTTGTTTATTACATCTACATTCAGATCTAATTCTCTATCACGTGATAAAAAATTCACAACATCTCAGATGCATCCGATGTGGATTCTCAAACGCGGCATATGTAAATAGTTGTTTTAGCGATTTTTGATGACCTTTTAACATGTAAAATTTTCACAATTTCGTCCTTTTTCCATTTGCTCAATTTTTTTTCTCTTTTCAATATATTCAGGAAATACCATTAGAATATTATAAAAACAATTTCGCAATTCGGGTCAACTCCCCCCCCCCCCCCCATGGAGGGTCCTCGCGGCACCATTTCCGCTATAGTATTGGCGTTAATCGCTAATGGGGTCTATTCTGTAACAATTCCTTTATATTTAACGGCCTTTAAAAATATTTTCTTCTTTACTTCTGTCATTATTTAAACGGATCTTTAAAATACATTAGGAGTGAGATTACAGAACGTCTGCAACTTTGCAGATCTGCAACTTTGCAAATCTGCAAATATGGCGGACTTACAAATGCAAGTATTCCAAAAAATATCTGCAAATTCGCAATATTTATTGTGGTTTATTACCCCCAAAACACTAAACCCAAATTTGGAATACGAAAACTTGATACTTGCATGTGTGAGTCAGTCATATTTGCATATTTTCAAAGTTGCCGCCATATTTGCAGATCTGCAAAGTTGCAGACGTTCTGTAATCTCACCCTAGAGGACTATCTTAAAGAAATCTGTTTAAATAATGACAGAAGTAAATTAACGAATACAAATATACTTTTAAAGGCCGCCAATATTTTTAAAGGCCGTTAAATATAAAGGAATTGTTACAGAATAGACCCCATTGACTGTTTGTTTTTATTCAATTTCTTGATGGAACCCCCCGATAATTCTCAAAAACCCCTCCCATGAAAAATGGCTGGCTACGCCACTGTACCTCCAAAGCATATTATAGGTCTTTTCCTTTGCATCGAAAGTGTAGCACTGAGCTACGTCACTTCTGAAAATATCGTTCCATCCATACAATTTGTATATATGGAACGATATTTTCAGAATTGGTGTAGCCCAGTGCTACACTTTCGATGCAAAGGAAAATACCTTATTGTGAAAGTATGGGGAAGAGTTACCGTCTACATAGGCAACTCTTTTAACGCAAGGATGTATGTTAGGTTGCCAATTCGTATTTTGACACAAAGTTGACATTTAGACCACATGTCACTGCATGCTTAACCTCAAAACAAAACAAACAAAAATAAATTATATAATAATTATTGTTGCTGGTAACAATGTAATAATTTTTAGAAGTAATGTCCTTATTTAAGCAGACTTTATTCAAAATACAAAGAATTAATTTCGTAACAATAGTAAGTGGATTTAATAAATATTTATTTTATAAAATTAATATCCCTTGTTGTTTTAGGCCAGATATTCTGTAATTCCAACAAGTGACCAAGATCTATTTAATTTTAAATCTAATTTTACAGAAGAAGAACAAATTAAGATATTAAATATTATAAATGAGCCTAATTCACAATTGTCTAGGTACAGTAAACCACTTTTTGTTTGTGTTATTTAGTAAGCATGGCAATTCTTTGAATTGATTGTCTTTGCTAAATATGTTTATCAATTTCTACCAATATTGTGTTCTTTGTTGGATCTTTAATCCACAGGAATGTAGTTCAAGACCCACAAGCAGAGGATCATCATACCTTAATTAACCCTAGATAGCCAGCATTATTCAATAGTCTTGTTGCCAATAATAGATACATCAATTTTACATGATCATTATAAAGAGAAAGAAAATGCAATTATTATTGAGCCAATTAATTAAAAAATAATGTATCAGTTACAAAATAGACAAAACTTACTATATTTTAAAATGTTATTTATTTTATTTTACATTTAAGATACCTTTTATTTGGATACTCACCTATAGGGGTAAAGTTGCAGGAAAGGTATGTACTGACGCGCATCCTGGCCGTGCATATAAAATAATTGGTTTTTTTTACACAGTATAACTGTACAAACGTTATCAGATTGCTACTTTTATATTATTAATAAATAATATCTAAGTAAAATAACAAATAAATAAATCAATAAATAAAAACAAATACGCGATAAATATAATGATGTTTACATATGCGCGGCCAGGATGCGCGTTAAGTACATACCTTTCCTACAACTTTAACCCTATAGGTTTCAGGCAATCACTTTATTTTCGTCATTCTTTTTTGACATGACAAATGAAAATACACTTGAGTTCCTTCTTATGCTGCGTTTGAGAATCCACATCGGATGCATCTGAGATGTAAAAAATCTTTGATCACATGATTCAGTATACGTAAATGTAATGGGACAGATGTGTCTGATGTGGATAAAAAAACGCTCGAGATGTAAAAAATGCATCTGATGTGGATTCTCAAACGCAGCATGAGATAGTGTTGTTGGATGTAAATTATTGTGAGTTTCCTCCCACTCCAAGGATTGTTTTGAATTGACAACTTATAGTGTCAAGATATATGTGAGATGTACATAGGAACTATAAAAGTAACAATAATGCTTCTAATTACTGTACATCAAATTAGGTCAACAGACTCAGGATAGTATAGCTAGAACCTCGATTTTAATGTGAACATTAAGATTAACATTGTGTAGGAAACAGCTGTAAAAAAGAGGAGTATTCAACCGAGTATTCAACTCTTTTTACAGTACATTCTTGAGACTAATCACTATCATTACTGTTTGAAGAATAATATACTATTTTTTTTATTTTTATATTGAAGGTTTAAAGTTTCACAATTCAGAATTAAAAATATAGAAACATGGAAAAATAAAAAGGGGCCATTTAGATCACTTGGAGAAATATTGGAAGTGGAAGGATTAGGTGAAAAATTACTGCAGAAGTTATGTGAGGATATTGTTAATGAAAAAACTACTGATCTGTCAAGTGTAAATATAAGCAATGGAAAAATAGGAAGATTCAAGCATTTAGTAACACCAGTTATTGGTGGAAATATTATAAATGTAAACATTCAAAATAGTTAGAAGCATTTAAGTATATTAGCTAAATAAATATTTTTTAGAATCTTAGTTCAGGAGTTGGGGTACACCTTAGCCCAACAGGCATAAGTTGGGCAAAATTAAATAGAGAAGAAAATAGATTAGTTAATTGGAATTTTGAAGTGTTTACTTCCTTACCAAAAAAGATGTCATTAGATGAAACTTTTGCTCAGGTTAGTTGGTTATTTATATTTGATCTTAAAGATTAATATATTTCACTAATTTATTATTTACTCATCTGAAAATAAGTATTATTCTTACATTTCGTTTTGTTCCTATTTTTCTCCTCAGTTGATAATTTTTATGTTGAAGAATGTACAAAAATTAAATCATTTTTAGAGCATCGACATAATCAAGAAAATCCCTCCCGGTGATGTATACATCTTTGAGACCAATCCCTCATTGAGCCCCCAGAGTCAAACTCAATTTTCTGCAGTCTCTGCTTATACCCAACAACTGGAGTTAAATGCAATGCTGTTGACACTTTTAAATACTAGTGTCACTCACAATGCCACCTTACAGAATCCAAAGGATGATGCATCTCAAAAACAAATAGAAAATAGAGTATTCTATCTCAAATCTAGAATACCAGCAAGGTGAGATTTTAAAAATAGATTTCAAAAATGTATTGTACTATTTTACATTTTAGATTATTTAATACACTGGTAGGTCAAGAGAAAGTATCTGCCATAACAATAATTGAAGAGTTATTGAAAAATGGAGATGGACCCGGTTCATCTCTACCAACCACGCCAGTTACAGTAGAGCAAAGGTTAAAAATCTCATTTAATTCACAACCACCTGCCAAAAAGGAATTACTAGGACAAGCGTTAATGTTAATTATAAGTTTTATGGACCTGTGTGTTTATAAAAATCCTGTTTCTATAGCTGCTATGAATATGACTAGAAAAAAGAAATAAAACAATATTATTAGTTTTATTAAACAACTGCTTGTAATGTGAAGTACCCAGTGTTTTATTAAGCACTATGGGTGTCCTTTTATCTAACTGTTGTAGCAAAGTTGGGATCGGTGCGATGTCATCCTGTTTTTTTACCAATCTATAAATGATGAACTAACAATGTTATCTTTTTATTCAACATTGCTACATAATTAAAATAAAGTTATAAACCCAAATTTTAATCAACATTCAGTACACCAAACTGTCAACTGTTATTTATGTTAATGATTAACTGCAAATAAAACGAATTCAACGTCGCATAGGTGAAACACCGATTCCATCAAATTAATGAAAAAAGGACATACGAATTGTTAGAAAAATAAGTCCGAATATTTACAAAAGTGTCTAGAAATGTGAACGTTTGAAGAAATGTGAAAAATGACAAATATTTCTTCAACTAATGCCATGATTTTTATCTGTATTTAAATTAAGAATTAATTCTAAATTTCAAACTAATGTATTAACTTTTATTGTAATAAAAAATCTATTACTAAACGGCGTTTTGAGGTAATTCACTCGCGACAGTCGTACATAAAAATATCGCCAAAAAGTTCAAGATTCTCAGTGCAAACAAAAATATTTTTGTAAGCTTATATATACGGATACGTTATAATTTCAAGTAAAATCCATCCGGCAACGTCGCAAATATATGAATGGTGGACTCCTCATACTAATTTTTAGTGTTTGTTTTGGTTCCAATTCTCAAATAAGTGGACGAATTAATTTTTCAGGAACACGTCGTGAAGTAAGCAAGGATGCATGGGATCAACAAGGAGAACTCACAAACACAGAAAAGAAGACTTTAGATTTCTTACGAAGGTCACACTTTCCTGGATATGAGATTATCCTCGATTAAGAGAACAAGAGTATTGAGGCATTAGTTTCTAGGGCCCCAAAAACAAACTGGTCTCTTGCAAATATAATAGTAAACAGAACAAAACTTGTATGGGCGATAAATTCCTTTCAACCATACAAGACATCTGGGCCAGATGGTATTATCCCGGCATTTCTACAAAAGGGCCAGGAAGTACTGAGTGGTGATCCCTTCGGTACTTCCAGTACTGTGTAAACTATTCCCAGCTAGCATAGCCCTCGGATATGTTCCACAAAGTTGGAGGTCTGCAAGAGTTGTCATTCCCAAACCTGGGAAAGCATCTTGCGCAGAGACCAAATCTTTCAGACCAATCAACCTAACATCATCTATCCTAAAACCATTGGAGAAATTGACCGATAGTTATATAAGGGACGATGCTCTAACGGGATAAACTAATACATCAATATCAGTTTGCCTACCAGTCTGGAAAGTCTTGCGATGGAGCAATACATAAGCTAACTTAAAAGGCTGAATAAGCATTGGAAAGCAAGGAAATAGCACTAAGAGTTTTTCTAGATATGATTCGGCCTCATACAATTTAATACTGGGATCTATGCATAAGCGTGGCTCAGCACACTACATTACGCAGTGGGTTGAGGTACCAGTAATCTCTTTAACACAACAAGAGAGGCCTCAGTTAAAAGGGTATGCTTGCATGGAGGAGTTTTATCTCTACTTATGTGGATCTTGATGGTTGATTACCTCCTATGGTAGTTAGAGAGATAAAACATACATACAAACATTTGCAGACGACATAAAGCATCGTAGTAAACGGTAAATTTGGGGCTGCTATTTTCGAAAGGATACAGCAGGTACTAAATATCGTCGAAAGATGGTGCCTAAAAGAGATATTTTCCACAAACCCGACGAAAACCTCTGTTGTTGCATTCACAATAAAAAGGAATAAAGGAGCTTTATATGTAGAAAAACATCTAAAAATGACAAAGGAGGTTACATATTTTATAATCACTTTTGATGCTTGAAGCAGGCTTTTGCAGCCATAAAATAAAACAACAGAAAAAGCTGTAAGAATACTATGACCCTATAGACGGATGGTAAGGAACACATGGGGGCCTAAAACAAGTATGCACTGGCTTTATACTATGGTTGTAGTGCCTGTTATAACCTACTCATCCGTTACATGGTAGCACAAGACTAAAAGCATAACAGCTAACAGAAAATTAGAAAAAGACTAGAATGTCTAATAATAACAGGGGCATTTATAATTACGCCCACTGTAGCAATGGAGCTGCTGTTAGGTCTTCCTCCATTGCACCTTGTGCTGGAGAAGGGAGGTAATGGCGGTGGTATATAGGCTGTTCACTAATGGATTTGCAAACTTTCGAGAAAAGGTCACCATACAATGATATTAGAGAAATTAAAATAAAATCCGGTGTTAAGAATTCCATCGGATAGAATACCTTATTCATGACTTTAGGAAACCTATCGATATTCACATACTAGAAAGGGTCAAAAACCGGGAAAATAGGGAATTTCAAAACGAATCAGACGGTTCGAAGTTGAAAACAGCACAGCAGCTGGGATTTACCATGCGGTCTCAGGGAGGACCATTAGGCTGAATCTGGGGTCACTGACAACAGTCTTTCAGGCTGAAGTAACAGCAATAAAGTGATGCTGCGCCAAAGTTATACTAAATGACTCTTTTAGAGATAAGAGGGTATTTGTTATGGGAGACAGTCAGGCAGCCCTTAAAGCACTGAAAATTAATTTGATTACCAACAGTCCCTCCAGGCCCTGACAGAACATAAGGTCACTCTTGAATGGGTGCCGTAACATGAGGGAGTGGTTGGAAACGAGAAAGCAGACCTTCTAGCTAGGAAGGAAGCTGAAAAACTCTAATTGAACCAGAATCCACATATGGTAGTTCATACCAATATTGAGGCCTTAGAAGACACCTAAATCTCTTAGGGATATCTGACTCTCTATGTAGAATATGTGAAGAATAGGACGAAACTCCTATTCACATACTATGCCATTGTCGGAACCTTAAATGGGAACAGGCACTTCGGGGTACAATATCAAATACGAAAGCGCCTATCAGACATATTCTTAAATTCATCAAGAATATTAAACTGATGGGGTAGAAACTGTTAGGGATACCATAGGCCTAAGCTTCCGTACGAATGGGCTTTGAACCACAGCCTAATTCAGATAGATAAAGCGCGAATAATAGCTATACCTTCAGGTTACCAATAAGACCTCTATTAGTTAATTTTTCTGGATCGATGCCTCTCGAATGCAAAGTCTAGTATTCCGTTATACCTACGACGAAAAACTACTAGACTAATCCATTCATGTATAATTAGAGGTACGTAATGTTCGTTTTTTACGAAATAGAAGCTATAGATGCGAAATTCACGTAATTTATGCGATAAATACGAAATATAATATTTTGTGTATTTAACAATTTTTCGACGAAATTTCGAAGAAAAACATTTTTAAAGGCAATAAACACGTGTATTTTCTAATATTACGAGCTTGGATAAAGTGTCTTTACATATGAGATCCAACCCAACAAACGATTCCTACCTACACATTGGCAAATTATTTTGCCCATCAGTAGCAGCGGCCGTGACCACTTCATCTCTGGTCACTAACTCAACACTGGAGAGCATCTCCAGAAAACCATTTTTTAGAGATATACCACAGGATGAACCCTTAAGTGGATATACTCATTTCCGTAGACAACTCGTCAATGTGGTCCAGAAAGAAACTCCTGTTAACGTCATGCATATTTTACTTGCATCCAAATGTTGCTACCTGAAGTTCGCGAATGCAGCTATACAAAGTCGATAGTATAGATACTGATAGATTTCAGTATCTACAATGTCGTTATAAATGGCCAAAGACAAAGGCTTAATTAAGCAAGACAATATAGAGACAACCACGATGTTAGCTTTTAACTAACTTTTCTGTAATAAATATAATGTTATTTTAATGATTATAGTAATAAATACGAGTTTTTAAATATTTTTCGTTTTTTTATGCGAATAAATGCGAAATTTTGGATTTTTAATTTATATTTATGCGAAATTTCGGTTTTTTAGATGCGAAATATACGTAACCCTATGTATAATTAAGCCCTTATCAATTGAAAACATTCTGATTTTATTTTATATTAGCTGTCGCATCAGCTACCGCATTAGAAAGAGCGAGATGGCTGCTAAATTGAGAGGTGAGATAGTTTGTGCGAGTTTATCTGAGGTGCGAGCATGTGTTATATGAATGAACCAGGACGTACTACTATATGATTCCTGCTTTACACCGTTGCCACACTATAAATAAATGGTGTTCAGCTACAAAAATAGTTGCAATCAGAAAAAGACAATAAACAGATAATACCTGGCACAAAGAATGCAAATTAATATACTTTCTTAATGTAATTTTTAAAGCCTTTGTGTCAATTCCGAATTATAACTACAGTAGAGCGTCGATAATAAGGATTAATTATTATTTTGAAACGAGTTTTTTTCGGTTTATGTCTCGATTATATATTGATTCAAAATGTAGTCTCCTTGGCGGCTGAAACAGGAAACTACTTGTTTTGCTTGATTCGCTGGAAGATGGTCTCTTTCTGTACCGATGCCATGGCCGAAAGAAAACTCACTTGGTCCACGCCCGCATAATTCTGGTAGAACGAACATTGAGTTCCGCGGCCGTTTATGGCAAAACTTGCGAATCGTAGATTTAATACATTTTTATCGGAGTGGATATTCTGTGCTTTCAAAATTAAATGCATTAATTTGAAAAATAGCTTCATTAGCGTAATGAACCTAGAGTGTTTACAAGTTTTTTGTACGCCAGTGTCCAATAAGTCCAGGTGCTTCGCCGGCACTGCTACGTACGGATCATATCGATCAGTGCAGTAAAATCAGCCTAGGCGGGAAGTCGTCGCGGCGCCACGACACGCGTCCCGACGGAGATAAAACACCAGACGAACGTGGGCAGCCAGTCCGCGACCTGGAACAGTTTCCCAGAATTCGATTTGTTGGTTCTGCTGACATTGTCGCTCGCTTTCGCGCGATTATGTAGTTCGGAAAAATAGTGAATGCTTCAAAATGGGTCCTGAATATGGGTTAAGTATCATTGACATTGTAAGTAAATTTGTTTAACCTAGTTTTCGCCGGGGAAAGTGGAACAAGTGCGTCTCTGGGTCACTAAGGAATATTAATCATATGTTAATCATATGCGTATACGTAGCTAGATTGTTTTTGCAAAAATTTGTTGCGACAATTTTTTTTTTATTAATGCTCCTCTTTGGGCTAAAAATAAATCTTATAAATTAAGAGTACCTATTATTTGTATTTATTGATAATTGGTCAACATAAAATGAAACAGGATCGTCGGTCGAATGTTAGGAGGAACGTTTTCCGGAATACGTTTCCAATAATACAAGGTGAAAATAATTTGTTCCTTAAAGTAACGGTTATTTTCCTGGGCTCGTCTGACTTAGTCTCCGATAAAACTGCAACCTGCTGGCTTATTGTGTTTTACCTCATATTAGTTCATTCTACCCCCCATTATGTCAGGTGGTGGAGATGAAATTTGTTTCATTAACTCCTTCCTCAAACAACGACGATCTTTTTTTTGCTTTCCAAG